CAGCTAATTTTCCTATTTTTTGTGGACATGCAAGACAGCGTGGAAGAGGTTTTGGCGCTCTTGCACAAACTCTTGGGAGAACTGCAATTCCCTTTATTAAAAAAAATATAGTCCTAGCTGTAAAAAGAATCGGAGCAGATTTATTTGAAATTGCTGCTCCAGAGATTGGAGAAATTGTCAGTGGACGAAAAAACTCAAAAAATTTGCAAAAGATGTTGGAACAAAAACAGTTCGAAAACAGTTGGGAGGTGGAAAAAATAAATCAAAGCGTAGAACAAGAAGCGCCATTTCTCGAAAAAGTAGTTCAAAATCAGTCGCTCTCGCAAAGACATTTTTGACAAGATAAAATGAGTGTAAATCAAAGTAGTCATTTTCGGTACGGAGCTTTTACAAATTCATCTTTGGAGATTTTTGATAAAGTCCCAATTTCAGAAACAATAATTTCATCATACATACAAGAAGTATTTCCCAGTACTTCTCTAGATGAAAGCAGTATTGAGTTTGAATTTGAGACGGACCGTAATCTTTATTTGGATATGCGTGATACCCACCTCAGTTTAAAGCTTCAATTATTCAAAGGAAGATTTTTTGAAGCTTTTAAAAATGAAAAAGCAGAACATAAAGCAAAATCGGAGGAAGATTCAAATGAGGAACCCCAAACTTACTTAACTTATGTAAACAATCTACTACATTCTCTATTCTCAAATTGTGAAATTTATTTTAATAATACAATGGTTTACAACGCCAATGGATTATATCCTCATGAAGCACAAATATCGAACGAATTCAACTCGTCAGCAGTGAGTAATAAAAGAATACTTGCTTGTCACGGGTATAGTTTTGAAGAATATCCGGAAGCATTTGATATGTATCCTTTCACTGATAGAGCAAATGCTTTAGGATCAGGGATAACTATTTCACTTTATGGCAGGCTTGCCATTGACTTGTTTAATTGTGAAAAATTATTACTACCAAAAACTAAAGTTCGAATTAAACTAATTCGAGCTAGACCTAATTTTTACATGCTGTCTGATAATCCAAAAGTTAGTCTGAAAATTGATGATTGTTCACTGTTTACAAGAAGAGTTTTAGTAGCTGAACCTAATCATCATTATTTGCAATGGAATCTGAAAAAGGATTCTGCTCATTACAATTACATGGAAACTATAGCAAGAACCTTTATCATTTCATCTCGTCAAAACCAGTTTATTCAGGAAAATGTCTTCAATAATGCCCCAATCAGAAGGATAGCTGTTGCAATGAATACAAGTTCGCCTGTTGCGGCATCTTTTTATGAAAATCCTTTCAATTATCAACAATTTCATTTGAGAGAGCTTACAATTATTCGGGGCGGAAGAGCAATTATTTCATTAGATACAACTTCTCCTTGTCGACCCTATGTTACAACAATGAAATAATGCAGTTTAACGAAGATTTTCCAGCTCTTCTTATGGGAGATTTTCAAAATCACTATATTCTAGTTTTCGACTTGACTTCACTACAGGATGCCGCTGAACACTTGCATTGTCCAGAACTTAGTGGAGAAAGCTTGAGATTAGAAATGTTTTTCCAATTTACCTTGGAGCAAGTAACGGAAGTGATAGTCTTGGGAGAAAGACTATCAAATATTCAAACTGACAAATTCGGAACAGTCGTTAAAAATGTTTAGTTTTTTTGAGTTTTCAGGTTTCTATAAAAATATTGTAACTTTTTTGGGACTTTTTTTTGTTATTATCTCTGTACTATCTATTTTGTTTTTCTTCAGACCTAACGCTCCAGAAAAAATAGAGGAGGAATGCTGTTTAGTTGAAAACCCGAGACAATTCTTCAACCTAGACTGTAAAGCAGTGTTCAATAAACTTTGTCCACTACATAAGGCTTGTGTATGGGACTTTGTTGATTCAATTCCTAAATGTGTGTGAGTCATTATTCTTTCTTGTTTTTAACCTAAAGTACACTATCAAACTATCAATTTCATTTTTAGCTGTAAATCAGTCTACAATTGCAAAGATGGATAATTTTTCACTTTTGCAAATTTTTGAAAGAATTCCAGAGCTCAGGTTCAAGTACATGGGATCATACCCTTTTGATACGTACCTCAACTAACAAAATACTCTTTTGCAATTATTAACTCAGCCCCAAGCAATGATAGAGGAGAACACTGGATTATGATTGCTCGACTGGATAACAGCTACTACTTTGCAGGTTCTTTGGGAAGAAAGAGATCAACTTACCCCTTTTTGACAAAAAAGTTTCGACAAATGGTTCCTCGAAAGCTACAAAAGACTGATAATTTGTGTGGTTTTTACGCAATTTATTCAGCATTTCTCCTTTTAAACTCTACCAGAAGAACTTGAATAATGTTCATGATGTGTATGTATTGAATTTTATCAGTAATGTTATGTAAAAGTGACTTTTTTGTTTTTAAGTGTAAATTTTTGCAGTAATTTTACTATACGATGTAGTGAATTGTTTAATTATTTATGTAATTTAACTTTTTAAATTCCCTAAATTTTTTACGAAAAGCATCATAGCAACTAACACGTTGATGAAATACGGAGAATGATGATGGAATATGGTTGTTGTAGTCCCCCAATTGAAAGAATTAACGATAGAGTAGATAAATTTACGAAAACTGTAACCAATTTCTAGTAAATTGTATAATTTTCTTAAAAGTTTAATCTGAGAAAGATGGAAAAATTATTACACAAAAATATCAGAACCAAAAAAAACTTTTACCGTAGTAGAGCAATTGATAAATTTGGATGATAATTTTTAGGAAAATTTGGAAATTTCAAAGAATTTTTTAAGGATTATAGACAAAGTGATGAAAGAGAACTGAAATGAATCGTAGCAAGAAATATGACAGAATAAATAAACCAGTTGAGGTAAAAATAAGTGAGATAAATATATGAAAAAAAGATAAAATAAGTCATAAAATTAACAAGTATAATGAACCTGTCATCCGTTCTCCAGATAACCTGGGGAAAAAAGATTAAGTGGGTTATAAAAGTAATCAACCGTGAGGAGCTGTCAAGATTCCCCTGATATCCCGTGGAGCGGAATAACTAACCTGTCAAAGACAATCCCCTCTTGACAATTTTCCCCAGATAACCTGAGGGAAAATAAATAACACGAAATAAGAATTTAAGATTCTTTCGAGAAAAAAAATATTCTGTGATATATTAGTTTATGATCCCATAGTCTAAATCGAAACTTAATTTTTGTTAAAACTTACCATCTGAAACTTACCATCCAATTTTTTTTCGATTGTTTAATATAAAATTGTTTTTTCAAGATAAAAAAGTATTTGCAAGTAAAGCTTAAAAACATTTCAAAAAATTTTCTGAAACTTACCTTCTGAAACTTACCATACCGAATTGTTGTAAGACAAGGTAGCCCTTACATATCACAAATCGTAGAAGTTGACTGAGAAACGCAAATATTGGCAAAATCAAGTCAAAAAACTCGGGTGCCAAAATTTTTTTGAAACTTACCATCTGAAACCTTACCATCTTAATACATAGGAAACCTACCATCGTAATACATTAGGAATCCAACATATACTACTCATACCACGACTATTTTAATAGTTTCTACGACCTTTGTTCTAAACAAAAGATACTAAGAGCATTTTTTCCCTTTTTGACTGCATGCGGTTCTAACCGGGTTGATACTTTTAATTGACTGTCAGCATAGAGTTGGGTGACTGCAACTCCGCGGAAAATTTTGATAAGATACTTGAAAACAATTTTTTTCATCTACTTTTCAAATCAAATTAAAAATCCTGGCAATCGAAAACAGCCATAGAATATTAAAGTCTACCCTATGAATAATTGTACAAACATATGGCTAAAAATCAGAAAGCATAAATTTCTTTTAAGTTTTCATAATTTCCTGCCAAAATTTCATTTTGTTTGGTTTTTGTGGCAACTTCAAAAATTCATATCAAGTTTAAGGTAGTTTTCAAAAAGACCGGATCAAGTTAATATCCACTTAAGGTCCAAAAGAGCAAGCAGCATATATAAATTTTCCCTTCAATAAGAAAAATTTTAAGAGTTATCTTTTTGGAATCTGAATCACGGCTGGAAAGTTTTTGCCGTTCGAGCATTTTGCGGTTCCTACTGCTGGTCGAAAATCCACGCTATTCCATTGTTACTAACCACCCTTACAGAAGGTTCGAAAACGAAATAAATGGGAACAAAGAGAATATTTGTTTCATAAATGTTATGTAAATTTACTCTGAAAAACCCAAATTTAACTGATCGTTATCTAACAATCTGATATCAATTTGTTTGAAAACAATCAAAACTGGACTGTTTCGATGATCTTTTCAACTCCAGCCCCGAAAAATAGAATTTCACGCGCATGTGCTTGTTTATAAAAAATTAGTATATATAATATTGAATTTAAGCATTCCAAAGCAACTCCAACATCCTCAATCAAATAATTTTTCAGGACAAAAAAACCAATGATAACATCTACTCGAGGTAAAATTTAGGTTTATGATGCATAAAACGCATGAAAAACATTAAAAACTAAATTAGCTGAAAATCTTGACATTCTATAGTATACATGCATGGACACTCCAATTGAATTTTTATCATTTTTATGAGTACCACCTTAGAAGCAATCTTATTTAATTTACAAGGCAGCATTTTGTGATATTTTGTGAAGTTTTGAATTGAAATTTTGAGGTTTTGAAACAATAATTAAAAACAAGCTGATATAAAAAAATTATTCCTTCATTATATAGTGGAAAAAAATTTGCCGTTGATAGTGCTAGAGTTCAATCCTTCATAACAACTATTAAATAAAAAAACTGAAATATCTCCAGTTCTTCTTAATTTTTACATAAACTCCTGAAAAGACTAGATCTACAATAATCTAGACATAAATAGGCAAATTTTTTTCCCAGAAGCAGCTCGCAAAGAGTAAATCAAGGGAAAATAGGCACTTTTCTATAAATAAATTTTCATTTATGTTTGAAAAATGTCTATAATACGTTGCAAAAGATAGAATACCTGATTAATTTCATTGGGATAAGTTTTTCAAAATTTTAAATGGTACTAATGAATGAGCATTTTAATTAAATCAAAAGCAAAAACAAACTGCCTCTGTAATTATTTTTAAACTCCATAAAACATCCAAAAAAATCTAATATCACAATTGGTTAATTTTAAAGGTTTTCGTCTCAATGTATCAAAATTGGGAGCAAAATTGGTTGGGAAAAAAACCACTTCGAAATCTTGGCCTCTTTATAATCAAGTAATTTACTAATAAATCATTCAAAAAACATATGTTTCTCGAAACGAAAGCAACAGTGCTCATTTCAAAGTCAACTTGAACTATATGAATTTTTTAGGCCAGCATAAACATGCCAATAATGAGTGAACCTATGATATTCAGTATAAAGAAAAGCCGATCAACAAAAAGAGCGAATTGTTTCCACAGATAATCATTGTTTTCCTCGCTGTCCAGAAACACAGCACGTTCAACAACGTCCTTTAATCTCAACTCTAAAAATTCCTCTTCTTCTCCGCGGGGGTCTCTATAGGAATCAGTAGGTCCGGTTAGAGTTTCCCAAGTTTTGTTCTCTTTGGCGTTGTCATTGTTGCGTTTGCTGCTGTGATCATTAGTTTTGTTATCTATCTTAAATCTAATCTTCTTGTTCTTTCCAAGATTAAAAGACGTTTTTAAATCAGTGGTTTTTTTCAGTCCGAGAAAAGTTTTCTTGAGCTCACAGGGTCTCAATCCGAAACACCACATTAACCTGTGCGATATGAGGCATCTGGTCTTGTACCCCATTTTGAGTTTTCCGCCGAGAAAATGGATGTTCATAACTGAAAAAAAAGATTCAACAAGAAAGTTATGCCATTTTAGTTCTGAACAACTTGGAATGTGTTTCCAAATTTGAATTTGTTTTCATAAAAAGAAACAGATAGATTTTTTTTTCATTCTGTTATCAGTTTTTTTCAAATCCTTGTCATGTTTTTTTTGCAGAGCCTAATTTTTAATAGCAAACAACTAGAATCGAACACCAAAACTAAAACTCTGAATATAAAAAAAAGAGGTAGAAAATTCAGATTGATAATCTCACCCAAAATAGTCAGGAATGCATTGACTGATATCTGAATAACGGTCATTGTTAGAAGAAATGCAATCCTTGGAATATGCAGGGAACTGGCCGGGAGAAAACTGGTAATAGTTGCACAAGACACTGTTTGTGCTAAGAGCATTGTTATTGCAAACGATACTTTTTCACCCGAGTCAACAGGAACGAGAAATACTGCTCCCGAGAAAATGTAAGTGGTGAGAAGAGGCGTTGTGAACACAACTGAATAGAAGTAATGACGCCTCTTGAGTTTCAGACGCATGCCGAGATTACGGTATTCATCGACTGAAACAAGTTCAAACTCTGATAATAATGTCTAGATCGCATTTAATTTTCATGGATGAAAATTGATTATAATGGATGGAAATATATTGTCTACATAACCCATTATTGGTGCAAATTTAGGTTGCGAAAATAAAATATTGCCCTTTGATTAAATTATTTGCATAACAACAAAAATCATTAAATATAAATGAAGCAGGAGATGAAAGTGGGCCTTAAAGAAAATTCAGTAAATTTTACGAAGCAACTTAAGTTAAAACAAAATTTTTCGTCATTGAGAAACGTTAAGCTTACAATACTCACAACCTTACAGTGTTTTTGTTTCGGTCAATCGGTCAATTTTCATTGATGAAACAGTTATATATCAAAGCCTTGCTGAAAAACTACACGAAAAAAATTGAAGAAAAAAACACATTTTTTAACCCTCCTAAGAATGTTTTTTGTTAGATGGAAGAATTAACAAAGCAATTTTTTCAATGCTTACAAAATTGAATGTTTTTTTTTGCTTAAGTAAGCAAGCCGGAAGTTTATCTATGAATCTATGATGCTTGTACCTGGTTCAATTTCTCGCAGGTAGCTGTATAAGGTAACTGGCCGTATAAGTTCCCATTCCTCGTGTTCTTTGTAGTATAGCAAATTAAGATGATCTGTGCTTCCAATAATGTCGTCAAACTCTCAACATAAAATTAAAACAGATTGAAATATTTTCCGAAATTTGAATAAAAATTTAGATTAAAAAATATTTAATCTTAAAAAATGTGTACTTTGTTTATGAGCGAAGCCCCGAATGCGCAGAGAGATTTTTTAAGTTTTAATAATGCTTCAGAAAAAATATCGATTAAAAATTTTCCACTGAATAATTCCTCTAAACGTAATAATAAAAAGAAACAAGTGGCATTTATCGCATCTGTTAATTGCATTGCAATTAGCTACGCGCAATTAGCTACGCGCCAGAGTTGATACGCGCCAATGAAATGTTCGAAGTTGCACACGCCTCAATTATTGCAAAATAGCCGAAGTCTTTGGAAAACACATTTTACGAAGAGCAATGAAAAATTTAATATCTTTTTACAATTGGGCTCGAAATAGCAAGTTAGTTCAGACGGTAAAAAGACCACTCTATGCATATTCAGTCCCTTTTTTTAAAAGTTGCAACAAAAACTGTTGGTAAATGTCACTTTAATAAAACATTTTCATTCTGCACGTTTTTGGATGATACCCGCATGGTAGGTTTCGATATGGACATTTCGGATCAACAGAAAAAGGATACACAATTAAATTTAAAATTTTTTGTCGAAATGCATTTTTTATACCGAATAATCGATCAAAATCAGTAAAAACTGTAGAAAACATCAGGGTTATTTTGCCTGCCGAATCATTTAAACGCTTCAAAACCTTTTGAAATTTTCTTATACTCCTCTGAACTATCTTTTTCAAATTTTGGCAATTAATTCAAAAAGTAGAAATGATTAAAAACATATTTTTTAACCTCCAATGCGCAATTTCAAAATCAAGTTATAAAATATCGCTTCCTCCATTGCATTATTTGAAAGAACGAGCTTGCTTCAAGTTAACTTGAAACAACTGTTGATTCGAATGGTTTCGCTAATGCGCTACTGTTGAAAAATTGGAAAATTTAGTCATTAAAAAATTTCAAATTAGCCATACAGCCGATATTCAAACCTCCATATATTTAGAAAAATGGAAGCAGATCAAAATTTCTTTTACTATGAAGTCAGTTAATTTGATAGAATAGGAGATTAAATACTCTGTGTAAATACCTCATTTCGATACAACAAATTGGAAGAAATCAAACTGTTAACAATCAAAATATGGTTTTTGGCCATGTCCCAAAAACTGGATTGCGTTGAATTTTTGAGCCTGTGAAAAATGAAAAAGGTTTGAAAGAACAAAACACGCCAATAACGGCTGCTAAAATGTAATCTGCTTGTTTCATTTGATTAAAATTTTCTTCTGAAAGGCTGACCTGCTAAGTGCTATAAAAGTGAACATCAAAAAATATGATGTCAACAGTCCTTCAACTTGAACAAAAACACTTTTAATTTTCAAAAGTTAGGGACCAAAGAAACGTTCAGAATTTGATTTTTTAGGTTCTTTTTTTGACGAAGATGTAAATTTGTTAGCATAAACGGGAAATTGAAGAGCACATGATGTATAATATAATGTAGTAAAACAACAAATATGATTAATTCAATCGAAGTTGGCCGCTAAACAACATTATAATTATTAATGATAAGCTAAATGCGAGAGTTATAAATATATATATATATATATATATATATATATATATACATTTGTGACTTGAGACCCCCAATACTTTTTTAAAATGCTAGTTGGTCATTTAAATGTACTGAAAACTTAATAAAGTCGAGATTGTATTTAGTGTTCAGCAAGGGAAGTTTTCGCAGTCTTAGTTTTCTAGATAGGCAAACCATTGGACCTGCCGATTTAATTTTATTCAACTTATCTTTTTTTATCAGACAGTTCGTTTTTTGTTACAAAAAAAATGAAAACTGACACGAAGTCATTTCATTTGGGTTTCATGTCAAG